TCTCTCTCTCTCTCTCTCTCTCTCTCTCAAAAAAGAAGAAGAAGAAGAATTTAAAATAAATTTTGTAGATTCATCTCTTTGGAGTATGTGGTTTATAACTCCTTACTTATTAACTATAAGCTATTCATAGTGACTTCTTTTTAAAGAGTATAGTTTGGGAAGGTTGGGAGGGAAGAGTAACTTTATAGTGGCCTGCCTTTGCTTTGCTTCCTTTTGCCTTGTTTTGCCTTGCCTTTCTTTGCCTCTCCTTACCTCTTCTCTACTCTTCTCATCCTCCCCACTCCTCCAACTGAGGATTGAACCTAGAAGCACTCTACTACTGAGCTACATCACAGCCCTTTTTATTTTTTATTTTGAGACAAGGTCTTACTAAATGGCTGAGGTTGCCCTTAAACTTGTGATCCTCCTGCCTCAACCTGTGGAGTTGCTGGGGTTATTGGCATGTGCCGCCAGGCCCAGCAGTCAGAAAACCTTTCAAACATTATCTCAAACCAGGCAGTTACATCCACAATGATAAATCAGTATGTGTTCTTAATGTGATATTATAAGAATGCCACTTTACCTCTGTGGTCTTCTTCCCAAAATACCTTAGCCTAGTCTAGTCATGAGAAAAATATCAGACAAATCCCAGTTGAAGGACATTCTATAAAATATTGGACCAATAATTCTAAAAACTATCCTTAGTAATAAAAGAGGAGTTTGGGGTATACAGAATTTTCTATACTGTCTTTGCAATAAGTTTGTAAACTAAAAGTTTATTTAAAAATATAGTTAAAATTCATCTTGTTAAATAAATTATAAAACCAATTATTTAATTTGGGAAACCTAATTAAAATTTTTTGATTTATTATAAATATACATAATAGTGGGTTTTATTGTGATATATTCGTAAATGTACATAGCATAATGTGGTCAATTTCATTCTACAATATGTCCCCTTTTCTTCCTCTTTTTCTCTCTGCTTCCCTTGCTCTACTGTACTGATCTTCTGTTTTTTTTTTTTTTTTTTTGAGGTGTTCTTTTTCCCCTTTTTCTCTTTAGCTTCCACATCTGAGAGAAAACACAAGACCGTTGACTTTCTGAGTCTTGCATATTTTACTTAATATGATATTCTCTAGTTCTATTTTTCTATAAATGACATAATTTCATACTTTAAGGCTGAATACAACTCCATTATTCCATATAGCACATTTTCTTTATTCATTTATTGTTAATGGACATCTAGGCTGAGAAATCCATATATTTTGAACTTTTCTTGGTGTTTCTAGTATTTAGCACGTCAGCTAGAGCCGACATGAAAAGACTGAAGGTCAAAGTAAAATGTGCATATACGAGGACCCTCATAATATGTGTTTCCTGGAGTATCTGATATCAGTATAAAACACCTCTCTATTTAGTGCCATCTGAGATAATGTTAGTAGCTGAAAGACCTCTTAATATTATGGACTAGCCAGCCTGGGACAAAATAACAAGAGCCTGTCTGAAAAACTAAAGATTAGAAGCTTGGCACAATGGTGCCAACTTGTTGTCTCAACTACTCAGGAAGTTAAGGCTAGAGAATTGCTTCCAGGAATTAGGGAACAACCTGGGTGACTTAGCAAGACATATATATCTATATCTTTACAAATAATGCGTATACACATATCCTTTTTTAATTAATTTTTTWAAAATACACAACAACGGAATGTATTACAATTCTTATACAAATATAGAGTAGTTTTTCATATCTTTATATAAAAGTATGTTCACGCCAATTCATGTCTTTATACATGTACTTGGGTTTTTTTTTGCATTACAATTCTTATTACACATATATACCACAATTTTTCATATCTCTGTATATACAGTAGGTTGACACACAATTTGTGTCTTCATACATGTACTTTGGATAATGATGTCCATCACATTCCACCATCCTTGCTAATCCCCTGCCCCCTCCCTTTACCTCCTACCCCTCTGCCCTATCTAGAATTCATCTATTCCTCCCATTCCCCCCCACCCTACCCCACCCCACTATGAGTCAGCCTCCTTATATCATAGAAAACATTTGGCATTTGTTTTTTTGGGATTGAATAATTTCACTTAGCATTATCTTCTCCAACACCATCCATTTACCTACAAATGACATGATTTTATTCTCTTTTATTGCTGAGTAAAATTCCACTGTGTATATATGCCACATTTTTTTAATCCATTCATCCCACTGAGGGGCATCTAAGTTGGCTCCACAGTTTAGCTATTGTGAATTGTGCTGCTATAAACATTAATGTGGCTGTGTCCCTGTAGTATGCTGTTTTTAAGTCTTTGGGTGTAGACTGAGGAGAGGGATAGCTGTGTCAAATGGTGGTTCCATTCCCAGCTTTCCAAGGAATCTCCAAACTGCTTTCCATATTGGCTACACCAATTTGCAGTCCCACCAGCAATGTATGAGTGTACCTTTTCCCCCACATCCTTGCCAACACTTATTGTTGTTTGTCTTCATGATAGCTGCCATTCTGACTGGAGTGAGATGATATCTTAGAGTGGTTTTGATTTGCATTTCTCCAATTGCTAGAGATGATGAACATTTTTTCCTTCTGAGAAGTGTCTGTTTCAGGTCCTTGGCCCATTTGTTGACTGGGTTATTTGTTTTTTTTTTGGTGCTTAGCTTTTTGAGTTCTTTATATACCGCAGAGATTAATGCTCTATATGATGTGTGAAGGTTAAAGATTTGTTCCCAGGATGTAGGCTCTCTGTTCACCTCACAGATTGTTTCTTTTTCTGAGAAGAAACCTTTTAGTTTGATGCCATCCCATTTATTGATTCTTGGTTTTAATTCTTGTGCTATAGGAGTCTTATTAAGGAAGTTGGGGCCTAATCTCACATGATGAAGATTAGGGCCTACTTTTTCTTCTATTAGATGCAGAGTCTCTGGTTTAATTCCTAGGTCCTTGATCCATTTTGAGTTAAGTTTTGTGCATGGTGAGAGATAGGGGTTTAATTTCATTTTGTTGCATCTGGATTTCCAGTTTTCCCAGCACCACTTTTTGAAAATGCTATCTTTTCTCCAGTGCATGTTTTTGGCACCTTTGTCTAATATAAGGTAACTGTAATTTTGTACGCTAGTTTCTGTGTCCTCTATTCTGTACCATTGGTCTACCAGTCTGTTTTGGTGCCAATACCATGCTGTTTTTGTTACTATTACTCTGTAGTATAGTTTAAGGTCTGGTATAGTGATGTCACCTGCTTTACTCTTCTTGATGTACATTTTCTGTAGTAGTTCTAGAATAGACTAGGGGGAAGTAAAGGCTATAGATTATCTGTGGAGTTTATGCTTCTTTCCTTGTTCTTGTCTCTTTAGATTATAACTAAGAAAGGATGCTATTTATATTGTTAGCCATTTTTTTATATCATGTAAAATTTTCTTAGTACTCCTATCCAATAGCAAATTGGGTTTATGTCTTTTGGAAATAGGTATATAATGGAATCTTTTTGGTTCCTGTCTTTTAGAGTATCTAAGTAAATTATTTTTCATTTGTCAGTAATGTTTTTCTGCTTCTATTTTGTTTATTTGCATGATCCCAAATAATTTTTCATAATTCTCTATTTGCTTAACATTTGAAAATAATAGTCTCCCATACAAGTTTCAAAATTTTTCATTACATTTACTTATCCCACTTAATATATAACATCACAGTGTATAATTAATAATTAACATTGGACAATGTTAATCAACCATTCTTCTAAGTATTTTGCATGTATGCATTTATAATAATAATCTTATGAGAAAGTGCTATGATTAATGCATATTTAACAAATGAGAAAATCAAGGCACAGAGGCAAAAAGTGACCCAGGTTATATAGAGTGACAGAACTGGTATCAGGCTCATGCAGCTGGCTTTAGATCTGTCATCCTGAGTGTCTTTACTGGTTTTAAATTCTTATCTAGTATGTCTTATCAGAAGTTGTTCAAGATATTCTTTTAATAATAATTATCTAGGAGTCCAGATATTATTTAACACATACCATCTTGCCACTTGGGTTGAACAAAAATTTTAACACGTGAATACAAGAAATGAACAGTTGATAAAGGTAAAATTGGAAAAGAAACTATTTTAATGTAAAATTGGATGTTAAAGTATATGTTAAGATAACTTTTAAAGGGGCTGGGATTGTGGCTCAGCAGTAGAGCGCTCGCCTAGCATGGGTAGGACCCGGGTTCGATCCTCAGCACAACATAAAAATAAAGGCATTGTGTTGTGTCCATCTACACCTAAAAAAATAAATATTAAAAAAAAAAGATAACTTTTAGGGGCTGGGTTGTGGTTCAGAGGTAGAGTGCTTGCCTGGCATGCGAGGCTCTGGTTCAATCCTCAGCACCACATAAAGTAAAATGAAGACATTATTTCCACCTATAACTTAAAAAAAAAAAAAAAGATAACTTTTAGTTGTAATATATATATCATTTTATAGTTTGGGGTTGTGGCTTAGTGGTAGAGAGCTTGCCTAGTACATGTGAGGCCCTGGGTTAGATCCTCAGCACCACATATAAATAAATAAAATAAAGGTATTGTTTTCACCTACAACTAAAAAAAATAATTTTAAAAAAGATAACTTTTATTGATAAATAGAAGTAATGTTTTATTGGAGTGTGGAGGCTTTTATATCTGGTAGATGCCCATTTAGTCTACTCTATACGTATCCCCAGAAGTTATTTATCTTATTCCCTCTGTTATACTGTAAAATTCTAAAAGAAAAATATTCTAAAAGTCTTTGTATTCCTCACAACACTTAGGATAGTTCTTAGCAAGTAGATATCTACTATAATTCTTTCTGGAATAATATCAGACATGCAGTAGTGATTTAACATTTGTTAAATGAAGGAATTACTTGATCTTACTACTTGTTATGATAGTATTTACCGAATTTAACCTGATAAAGGACTTCAACTAAATACATTTGATTAATTTTTTTTTCTGTTAGGTTATGAATCTGAAATTTGTTCTTTGTCCTTTCTATAGGATACTTCAAACTTTGTGCCGAAAACTAAGACTTCCTGAGACTTTTAACTTTTGTCACTTAGCACACTTAACGCCAGGCTTTGTTGGTGCTGATCTGATGGCACTCTGCCGAGAGGCAGCTATGTGTGCAGTCAACAGGGTCTTGATGAAGCTACATGAACAGCAGAAGAAAGATCCTGAGATTGAATGTTTGTCATCTGAAGGAGGCCAAGAAGAAAGATTGGGAACTGAACCCACATCTGAAACTCAGGTACTTATAAATGTTTGTGTTATATTAAATTCAAGTACGTGTTAGTATAAATGAGATTTAGTTCTTTGCAGAAAAAGTTTGCCAGCTTATGTTAGGACATTGGCATATATTTCCTAGTTAACTTTTCGGTAGATGGAAATGATAGTTTTCTGACATAACCAAATCCTTGTTTCTAGCTGCTCTCAGCTCTGGAGACCAATTTTGTGAATATGAGAGGAATATTTATCAGTTCAAGATCAGTGTTACACTTTTGAGTAAAATCTTAGTGTAATATATATATCATTTTTATACTTTGCACAGATGACTTCTACATATAATTTGATCTGTATAATCTTGTGAAGAAAATATTATTTTCCTTATTTTATCATCCAAGACACTAAGCTTAATGTGTTATGACTTGCCCCAGGCTACATAACCTCTGCTTTGTAAAGCAGAGACTTAAATCCAGGCCTTTCCTATTTAAATCATTTGTTTTTTCCCTTGCATATTTGAAATTAACATTGTTTTTGTTAAAAATCACAACAAGTTCATTCTTTTTATAATATTGCATATTAGTTAGGATTTTTTATCTCAAAGTTAGAATTTTTTTTTTTTGTACCCTGGATTGAACTCATGAGTGAACCACATCTCCAGCTCTTTTTTGTTTGTTTGTTTTGAGACAGGGTCTCTCTAAGTTGCTCAAGGCATCATTAAGTTGCTGAGGTTGGCTTCAAATTCATGATCCTCTTGCCTCAGCCTCCTAAGCCATTGGGATTACAGGTGTGCACCACTGCACCCCACTCAAAGTTAGAATTTTAAAAATTGAATTCTTTAGATTTACTCATTTTTTTTTTACATTTATCCTTTCATGTACTTTTCCAAATCAAGAATCCTGCCATTGAAGTTCAAGATTCATAATACTAGGAAAATAATCTGCTCTATATTTAGTTGATAAAACATCAGGGAACTATATAATGAAATTATACTGTCACCAGAGTAAATAACTTTGCTTTAATTTCATCAAAATTTAGTTGCTTCATGAATATTTATAAATGAAATGGGAAATATCATGATTGGTGAAATGGATATTTGCCAACTGCTTGTGATTGYTATATCTAACCCTAGTATAGTACATGGAAGTTATTCTTATATTTGATTATAGTTGATTTACCTTTACTTGATCTGTTTAGAATAAATGAACATGTCTCTGTCAAAGCGAGAAAGTTATTTATGACTTTCTTACAGAATATTGGAGTAATAATTTTTAAAAGTATAATTTGTAACTTTTTAACAAACTGTGACAAAACCTTATAACATATTCCCTCCACCCCCCACCCCTGTTGTTCCTTTTAAGGATGAATTGCAAAGGCTTCTGGGGTTATTAAGAGACCAAGATCCCCTTTCAAAGGAGCAAATGCAAGGACTGTGCATTGAATTGAATGATTTCATTGTGGCTCTAGCTTCAGTCCAACCCTCTGCCAAAAGAGAAGGCTTTGTCACTGTCCCAAATGTGACATGGGCAGATATTGGTGCCCTAGAAGATATTAGAGAAGAGCTCACGATGGCAATATTGGTAGGTATATCAGCTGCTAAATGCTATTGGTATGTTTGATAAGTTGAGGGAAATAAAGCTACATGCATGTTAACCAGGTTGTATGTCTGAAGTGACTTGGATTATATGTTCTCTTTCTTTTTTCCTACTTTTCCAATGAGTTTTATTATTAGTTAAATTCTGATTCATGGTCCCAGGGTAGGGATCACCATGAACACCTTTACCACCTGTAAAGGTAAGAGGATAGGGGCAGTGGGATGGAGCCAGTTCATATTTTCCCAGGAAACAACTTTGTGTCTGGCAGTTATCTCAGGTTGAGACCCCAGGAGGGCAGAGGGACTTGCACAAGTTTTGGTACCACTCATACAGAAATCATGTTATCACTCCCTTATCACGGCAGTAGAAATTCAGGTAGTTCTGCCAGCAGTTCCTGGTGAGGTTCTGTGCGGGGAAGTGGCTGTCACAAGGGGTATTCATTTTCTGTGTTTTCTGAGTATTGGGATTGAACCCAATAGTATTCTATTTGTGAGCTACATCCTCAACCCTTTTTATGAGAGAAATCTTGCTAAGCTGTTGAGACTGACCTCAAACTTATGCTCTTCTGGCCTTAGCCTCCTCTGAGTACCTGGGATTACATGTGTGTACCACTGTGCCTAGGTCAGAAGGGGCATTTACAAACTAGAAGAATATAGATTTCTAACACATTGGTTAAAACAAAAAAAAGTTAGTATTTTGTATAATTTTAAAACAATAATAAAAAGACACATGAACCAATAGGAAAATGAATATACATTTCATAGAAGAGGAAAAAACAGTGACTGGTAACATAAAAAGATGTCAAGTTTATGCGTAAAAAGGCGCATTCTTGATGTCTTCTGCCATGGTGCTCTGCCCTTGGCACACTCTAGACGGGCGCTCTACTACTAATTTATATCCCCAGGACTTTTTCTTTTTAATTTGAGATAGGATCTCACTAATTTGCCCAGGCTAGCCTTGAGCTTAAGATCCTTCTGTGTTGGCCTTCTGAGTAGCTATGATTATAGGCGTGAGCCAGTTGAAATATTGTATCTTTATTTATAAAATATTCTTAGAATGTAACACTTAAGTGAAAATTTCTCAAGAGTAATAACTTTTCTGTTTATCATAATGAAACTCATGTTTGAAACAGTTAAGCCAGATATTGCTCTTATCTTCAGGCCTCATAGTCATTGTTGAAGAAAATACATGTCTGGAGGTGAATTTGAACATGTAGTATTAAAGGGAAAGCTGTCATGGGTCTCTGCATTACTCTTTCCAGGCACCAGTACGTAACCCAGACCAGTTCAAAGCTCTTGGATTGGTGACTCCAGCAGGAGTCCTTCTTGCTGGTCCTCCTGGCTGTGGGAAAACTCTGCTGGCAAAGGTATGGTATGAATTTAACTTTAAATGTTACCATGAGATAAATCTTTTGCATAATTTCTGTTAGAAATTCATTTTAGCAAAGATGGTAACTTTTCTCAGGGAAGTTTTACAAAAGTTAAATCTATGAAAAATGTTGGGGGCTGGGGATGTGGCTCAAGTGGTAGCGTGCTTGCCTAGCATGCATGAGGCACTAGATTCGATTCTCAGCACCACATAAAAATAAAATAAAGATATTGTGTCCACCTAAAACTAAAATATAAATATTTTTTTAAAAAAGAAAGAAAATGTTTAAATCAATTATAACCTCACCAGTTTTCACACATCATTTATCATATTTCTGTGTATAATATTCTAGTATTTTGCAGGGGGATATTGGGTATACTATATCCTTATCATTTATTTTGAGACGGTCTCACCATGTTGTCTAGGCTAGCCTCTAACTTGCAATCCTCCTGTTCAGCCTCCCCAATGGCAGAATTATAGGTGTGTGCCATTGTACCTCATCTATTCTAGCTTTTTAGTAAGTATTTTTACATAACTGTAGTTTATAGCCAACCTTGTTTTCTACTATGGTGTAGGTAAGTATTTTACTATAATCCTGTATGTATCTTATAAGTTATTTTTAAAATTTTTATTCATAGAAGGAAATATAAATAAATAAACGGGAAAAGCATTGTTTATAGTTCTTCCACTAATACCTACTACCAACTACTGTTTCCTTTTGGTGTCAGTCCTTCCACATATTTTTTTATACATACATATCTAAAGAGTGTATAAAAGATAATATATATTGTTTTTTACAAATAGAAGTTTTTTAGATATGCTTTTCTCATTTAGCAATATTTTCTGAATATCTTCCCATGTCAATATAGTTACACATCATTATTATTATTATTTTTGTTGGTACCAGGGATTGAATCCAGGGGTGCTTAATCACTGAGCCATGTCCCCAGCCCTTTTTAATATTTTATTTAGAGACAGAGTCTTGCTGAGTTGCTTAGGGCCTCACTAATTTGCTGAGGCTGGCTTTGAATTTGCAATCCTCCTGCCTTACCCACCCAAGCCACTGGGAGTATAGGTATGTGCCACCAAGCCTGTTCTACATTTTTAGTGCTTGGATAGTCTTAACAATAAAATGATACAGTTTTCCAAAGCATCAGCATGTGTAAGTAAGTAAATAGCATAAAATAAAGACATGCAATTGCTGGAGCCAGCACCCTGGAAATTAATGAGTGATGAAAGGGAAATAGAAAAGAGAATAAATAGTACGAACCATTTAGTTGTCTGGAGATATATAACATGGAAGCAAAGACCTGCTGACACCATAGTGCAGGATTCATTATGTGCAGAATTCATCATAGTGAAAAACATTTTTGTTTACTATATTTCATTTAGAACAGATTTCCATCAATATCAGGAACTATTTGGGGTTTCAATGGTTTTAACCCAAGTTAGCTGACATATAGATGTTGAAAACCTACTATGCATGAGTTGCTAGATGTGTATCCTGTTTTACTTATAGTTTTGAGCAAGAGGAAAGTTATGAAACTGGCAGAAGACAAGAGAAGGATTGAGAGATGTAGATAATCCATGTATTGAACAGCGTTTGTATAGCAAAGCATTCATGCCTGTCATTGGTTCACCAGGAATCTGTTAATCCTGTTCTTTGTCAGAAATTGTTTGAGGTACTAGGGATAAACTAGTTAAGATGACTTTTCTAATGAAATTTGCTGTCTACTTGGAAGAGAATAACAGTAAACAAGTAGAACAATAAAATTTTAGGTTCACTAAGTTATTATGGAAATAGTGTTGTGATATAATGATTGGTAGCTACTTTAGATAATGGTGTTCAATAAATGGTGACATTTAACAGCGTGAAAGAACCAGCATAAAGAGGCAGGCAAAGTAGGGGAATAATTTTTCAGATAGAAGGAAGAACAGTTATAGAAGCCGTAAGATGGTTAAGGACTTGGTGAGTTTGAGAAACAGGGAAGGAATAAGTAGTTAGACTAAGGAGATGTCATGTCCCAAGATGCAAGCTCAGGAGCCATGGTAAATATTTCAAATTGTAATTGAAGATGAATGGGGCATGTAGTAAAATAATATGGTCTTATTTGCATTTTTACTAGAGCACTCTTTTTTTCTTTTCTTTTCTTTTTTTTTTTTTTTTTGTACCAGGAATTAAACCCAGGGGCACTGAGCCACATCTCCAGCTCTTTTTTATATTTTATTTAGAGATAGAGTCTCACTGAGTTGCTTAGGGTCTTGCTGAGTTGCTGAGGCTGACTTTGAACTCAGGATCTTCCTGCCCCAGTCTCGTGAGCTGTTGGGATTACAGGCATGCACCATCAAGCCCAGCTCTTTACCAGAGTACTCTTAACTGCTGTGTAGTAAATAGATTGGAGGAAAGCAAGAATGAAAGAAAACCAGTTAAGGGTTTTCTAATCTGTTCCAGCAAGAAAGGATGGTGGGTGGTCTAGATGAGGGTGGTGATGTAGAGATGTAGAAAATGTATCAGACCCACGTATATTTTAGCATTATAGCTAATAGAACTAACAGATAGTTGGGGTAACATGACAAGCAAGACATGAGCCCAGGGGAATACCAAGGGTTTGGCCCAAAAATTGTATTTACTAAGATGAGGTATAAGAGTTTGCAGGTGAGTTTTGGAGGAAATTGGGAGAGAAAAAACCAGGATTTCTATTGTGTAAATGATAGGTTTGAATACTTGTGTGATTCGAGTAGAGATGCTGAATATGTTTAATATAGATCTGGAGCTCAGATTTTAGATTCCAGGATCTAGGAATAGAAAAGAACTGTTTCGTGGTCATTTTGAAGTTGCAGTGAGTGATTTATTCCAGTTTTATTTATTCTTAGATTCTTCTACACATATGTGTTTCTCAGTAAAGACTGATTCTAAGGGTTTTGTTTTGTTTTGTTTTGTTTGTTTGTTTTTAATCATGATACAGGGGATTGAACTCAGGGATGTACCACTGTGCTATGCCCCCAACTCTTTTATTTTTATTTTGAGACAGCGTCTTGCCAAGTTGCCGAGTCTGACATAGAGCTTGTGGTGTTACTTTCTCAGTCCCTTGAGTAGCTGGGATCATACTGAGGTTTTTCTATATTTTGGTTTGTAGATTCATGGGTGATTGCTTTCATTGCACAAGGCATTTCTTAAGTGCAAAGCTTGAGATCTCACTGACATTCTAAGCTAGGACTCTAAATACTTTTATTTACAGTGTCGTAAAGCATGTTTATACAAACAATATATACATAAATATTTTTGTTATTCCCATTTGATTTATAGTTGTCTTAGCACTTCTTAGAAAGTTGTAGGCTAATATTTACTTTCTTTGGTTTTCCTTTTGTATTTTTCCTTTTCCCATTTTTTCTCTTTTCCTTCTGATGAGAAATAAGCAACTATAAAAAGGAAGAAATACAGTTAAAGCCAAATTATTATTACTCTTTTGAGTTTTTGTCTTTTTGGTGATGTCTTTTTGTTTCCTCTTCTAGGCTGTGGCAAATGAGTCTGGACTGAATTTTATATCAGTCAAAGGCCCTGAATTACTAAATATGGTAAGTCATTGGCATTAGCCATTATTTTAATTGGGAAGATTACAGTATGAAACCCCCTCAGATCTTAATCACTGCTATAGGAATGAGATGATTTAGCTTTGCTCACTACTAGGAGTGTATAAATGCTTTTTTTTTTAATGATTTTTTTTTAAAAAATCTTTGTTTTATTTATTCTTTATGTGGTACTAAAACTCGAACCCAATGCCTTGCATGTGCTAGGTGAGTACCCTACCACTGAGCCACAACCCCAACCCATAAATGCTTTCTTGATTGAATCTGATAACCTCTCTGACCCTGAATCCTCATACCTACAGAGAGAAATAATTTATTAGTTATTGACATTTATGTGTTTACCTAGCACCAAGTATTTGTCATATGCTTCACATTTATCATTCTTGAAAAATCCTGTGAGATGAATTATTCTTTGTTCTGAATAAGGAAACCTCGGTATGCTGATGCTATGTATCTTGCCAAAGGGTGGCAGCTAGGAAGGACGATAGTAGAACTGAGATTTGAACCCAGGTTGTCTGGTTCCTGATATGCTTCCCTATCCTGTTCTTGTGTGACTCAAATAAGTTAAGTATTAGTAAATAAAAGTACTTCAGGGAAAGAAGTCACTAAAGTGACATCTTCTTTCTACATTTAAGCAGTTTATGCCTCAAATTTAAGAGACTTTGAATTTGCTATTTCTAGTCCATTCCTATATAAGTATAAAACTCTCATTCAATGTTTGTAATATATACAGACAAAGAAGAAATTAATGGTATTTGACTTATAGGCTGCTGTTGCTTTTTTTTTTTTTTTTTAATAATGATCCTGGGGACTGAACCCAAGTACTCTACCACTGAGGTACCTCGTAGCCCTATGAGAACAAGTTCTTTATTTTCCTCTTACTTTTTTATTTGTTCTTTTTAGTTATACATAACGTAGAGTGTATTTTGACATATCATACATAGATTGGAGTATAACTTCCCATTCTTATGGTTGTACAAGAACAAGTTCTTATGTCTAACTAAAAACTGAAATCATATACTTACGTATAACTTGTATATTAATTAGTCTAAATATTATTGCTATTTGTGAATTGCTCTATGTCTTTTTTTTTTTTTTTAAGAGAGAGAATTTTAATATTTATTTTTTAGTTTTTTCGGCGGACACAACATCTTTGTTTGTATGTGGTGCTGAGGATGGAACCCCGGCCGCACGCATGCCAGGCGAGTGCGCTACTGCTTGAGCCATATCCCCAGCCTTATTTCTTTATCTTTATATTTTGATTTAGTTTTAACATACACTAAGACGTTGTGAAACCTGTGAGAAGCCTAGCTGATTCACTGACTCCTCTGTTGCTATAGGACATCTTTYCCCTTTTTTTAGCAAGATGTATAGAAATAAGAATAGAGGGCTGGGGATGTGGCTCAAGTAGTAGCGCGCTCGCCTGGCATGCGTGCGGCCCGGGTTCGATCCTCAGCACCACATACAAAAAAAAAAAGATGTGTGTCCGCTGAAAACTAAAGAATAAATATTAAAATTCTCTCTCTCTGACTTAAAAAAAAAAAAAGAATAGAGGGCTGGGGTCGTGGCTCAGTGGTAGAGTGCTCGCCTTGCACATGCGAGTCCCTGGGTTCGATCTTCAGCACCACATAAAAATAAATAAATAAAGATATTGTGTCCAACTAAGATATATATATATATATATATATATATATATATTTTTTTTTTTTTTTTTTTTTTTTAAAGAATAGAACAGTCATTGACTTGGGTATTTAAAATCCTGTTGAATTAATGAAAATTATTGCTGGGTATTTTATATGCGCAAAGCATAGGAAATCACTTCTAAAGTTCAGTAGAATACAAAGGATTTTTTGAGCTAGAGAAAACCTTGCATCCTACCTAGTCTTCATTTTATGAATGAGGAAATTCCTAATAAACTTAAATAACAGTTAATTTTAGTAAGAAGTTGAACTTTATGAATTTRGTTATTTTTATAGGTCAACAGTGGTTTAATATCAACATTTACATATGTTTAGTCTAATAATTTTTTTGGACAATTTTTTTGGAGCAGTGTCATTTGTAACTACTTTTACTATCATTTGGCCCAAACCCCAAGTTGAACAGTGCTGCATTTTATTTTCTTTTTGTGTATGTTTAGTATGTTGGTGAAAGTGAACGTGCTGTACGACAGGTTTTTCAGCGTGCTAAGAACTCAGCACCCTGTGTGATATTCTTTGATGAAGTAGATGCTTTATGTCCTCGAAGATCAGACCAAGAGGTAAGTATCATAGATTGTTGGTTTGCAGATTTTTTCTTTTACATACCATAAATATTTTTTAGTTTCCAAGTCAGGTACTTTTTATGAAGTCATTACTTCGGAACATTACAATTCTTTAAATGAAGAAACGTAGTAATTTGAAATCAGAGCTTAGAGATAACAGTTATATTCCATAATAATTTTTTTCCCTATGATGTATATTCTTTTGGTTGCACAGTGTATAGTAATCCCAATTCACACAAATGAGTAGTTGGGAATGGAAGTGATAGTAGCCTTGGATACTTTGCCTTGAATCTTGTAATTATGGTACTCTTCAGTTATATTGGTTCTTGAGACAACATATAATTTAAGACGTCATACACTTAAAATAGTGTCTCATTATTAATTTTTTTTAAAGAAAAGGCAATAGTTCTTTTATTTTTTTTTAGAGAAAGAGAGAATTTTTTTTTTAATATTTATTTTTTAGTTTTTTTGGCGGACACAACATCTTTGTTTATATGTGGTGCTGAGGATCGAACCTGGGCTGCACGCATGCCAGGCTAGCGCGCTACCGCTTGAGGCACATCCCCAGCCCCCTCATTAATTTTTAAGACCGAACACCATTACCATCTGGGGAAGATAAGTGACCTGCATTGAATACTACTTGTGTAAACCACACTGAATCACAGTTCTTACACACTTCGCTACAGAGAGTAGAGGAAACACTTGTTATCAGGAGTACTATAATTTAAGAATTTGAAGCTTAGTAAAACATAGAATAAGAATATATAACCTTTTGAAACATAGCAAACAACTATTAATAAGTACATTTATTTCATGATCACTGAGGAGGTGACTGCCCTTCTAAAACCTGGGACATCTTTGTGATTTAATTTCAAATAGTTATTCTGTGTGTTCTTAGATTGTGAAACATTAAATACCTCATTTCACTAAAAATCTTCAAAAGCATTCAAAAGTTGGAAAAACAAAAGTTGACTAATATGATTTTGACTCATGTAACAATTTTGTCTCCTCATTCAATAATCATCAGTACCATAACAGGTCATCTTATAGTTTTTTCATGGTTCCCTGTTATATATCCAGCTGGTTAGGGCTTGACTTGCTCTGGATTTTGCTCCTGTTTATTCTTTGCTCTTTTAGTGTAAATAAATATTTCATTTGTCCATTGCTTTTCAATGGTTTGCAGCTATTACCAGCTGGTAAATCTAAATTTGGAAAGGTTTATTGGCAATTACTATTCTCAAAAGAGTTCTGTAGCCACATAAAGTGTAAATTAGGATTTCTAATTTCTAGGTTATCTCTTGGATATCTGCTGTCATACATTTCTATACTCTGATGTATATGGTTGCTTTTTCAACATTTCCCCCTGAAGGGATTCTAAAAACATTTCAAGTTTGAATGTATTCCTTTTTAATTTTATTAATTATACATGAATACATACTTGTAACAACCTTGTCTGGAGAGTAAAAGTCAGATAGATGCCAGTGGTGCATGCCTGTAATCTCAGCAACTCAAGGGGCTAAGGCATGAGGAGGGCAAGTYTGAGGCCAGCTTAATAATTTAGCAAGACCCTAAACAACTTAGCAAGACCCTGTCTCAAAATAAAATAAAATGGGCTGGAGAGGTAGCTCCATGGTAAAGTGCCCCATGGTTTGATCCCCATTACCAAAAACAGAAGTGGGGAGCAGGGAAGAAGTCCTTTCTTTCTGTTCTCCTTATTGCTTTTCTTGGAGGTTGCTTCTGCTAATTATTCAGTGTTAAGGATAAACATATCCTTAACTAGAACCTTTTCCATAAATTCACTTTTTGATTATTTTCCTATGTACTTAATAACTTTATTATAGAATATACTTAATTATTTTAGACATTTACATGGGTAGTTGTTTCTTTTATAGATAGAACTATTAAATGTTTGTATTATATATTTGTGTATACATGTATGAATATGTGTGATGGAGTTTGAGAAGTGTAAATCATGGTTGAAGATGTATATGAGTTAAATTTTAAAATATAACAAATATTTTGTCATCTTTCACAAAACTACAGTCACATATGCCAATCAACTGTTGCGTGAAAATAACCATTCCCCATACTTTTTTCAACAAAGGATCTTTATTTTTTGTCAGTTTTATTGGCAAAACACTAAACTTTAGTATGCATGTCCCTGATTACCAGGGAGGTTAATAATTTTCAATAAATTTGTATTTCATCTTCTATAAATTAATCTTATTATTATATCTTTGGACCCTTTTGCTATTGGAATTATTTTTTAGTTGTTGATGGAATTTTATTTATTTATTTTTACTTATTTATATGTGGTGCTGAGAATCGAACCCAGTACCTCACATACCTAGTGGTAGGCAAGTGCTCTACCATTGAGCTACTACTTCAGCCCTGGAATTTTTTTTTTTTTTTAATATTTATTTTTTAGTTTTCGGCGGACACAACATCTTTGTTTTTTTGTATGTGGTGCTGAGGATCGAACCCGGGCCGCACGCATGCCAGGCGAGCGCGCTACCGCTTGAGCCACATCCCCAACCCCAGCCCTGGAATTTTTAAAAATTGATTTATTAGAGCTTTTTGTTTTGGTATTAAAGATTGAACCCAGTGGCAATTTACCACTGAGTTACATCTTCAGTTCTTTCTACTTTTTATTTTGAGATGGTCTTTGTAATTTACTTAGGGTCTCATTAAATTGCTGAAGCTGRGCTGACCTCAAACTTGTGATCCTCTTGCTGTAACCTCTTGTGTCGCTAGGATTATAGATATTTGCCACTGGTACCTGGCAATTTATTGGAGCTTTTTATGTATAATGGTGTTAGTCCTTTGTCCAGTTATGTGTACTGATAACCATTTACCCCAGTCTTTTCATTTATCTTAATTTTTTTCTATAGAATATAATAATTTTAATAAACTATCAACCATTTTTATATTGATTCTTTTTTAAGGGTTTTTTTTTTTTAGTTGTAGATGGACACAATACCTTTATTTTTAAAAAATTTATGTGGTGCTGAGGATAGAACTCAGTGCCTCACGAGTGCTAGACAAGTGCTCTACCACCGAGTTACAACCCCAGCCCATTGTATATTGATTCTGATATTTTTCTCTTGCTTAAGAAGAACAATGTTGGGAGGGAAGAAGAGAGGGAAAAGGAAAATACTAGGGAATGATACTTGCCAAGTTATATTGTGTGTACCTATGAATATGTAACAACAAATCTCACCATTATGTATAGTCATAATGCACCAATAAAAAAAATAGGGAAAATTTTTTAAAAAGGACAATGTTAGGTTTTATTCTTACCTAGTACCACTTAATATTTTTGAGTCTGGATTATGACTCTATTAATATTTTAATTATTATGTCACCAAGGAATGAATGAAAAGCAGGCTTACCAAATATTTCCTTCTAGAATAATCAGTGGTTAAACCAGCTACCACCTGTGTGCATAAGTTATATTGAAAAAAAGCAGTACTGACAAAATGAAACAGCACYATTTTTTCTCGTTTCCTCCATTGTACATGTTTTTTTKTTKTTGTTGTTGTTATTGTTGTTTATTTGTTTCTATGTTTAGGTGATTTTTTTCCCTTAACCTTTCTCTTGGATTATTGCCCTGAATCGCCTTACTGCTGTTTGCTTCAAGAAAAAGAGGAAAAAACTTTAGTGCCCTATATGCTCCTCTCTGTATTGTGTTGAAAGATTTAGAACATGTGAGGTACTGGGGAATCTGGAGTTCAGAAGCTGAGTTTACTTTTGCCCAAATACATTTATTGTGCCTGTTAGATCTTTGAATAAGTTTTATCTCTCCCCTTATCTAGTGATGAGACTTTGGACAAATTCTCTAAGCTTCTGTTTCCTCATCTAGCCTGTGAATAATAACAAGACTGCTAGGGAGTCCACTGATTACAACCTGTTTTATACAGTGTTGCCATATATTGACTCCTGAGGAAGTGGTCATTGTTCTCTTTCTCTCTTAAAACTGAGGATTGAGCTATATCCCAGCCCTTTTTATTTTTCATTGTGAGACAGGGTCTCACTAAATTGCCCAAGCTGGCTCTGAAGTTGCCATCTTCCTGCTTTAGCTTCCCTAGTATCTGGGATTACAGCTGGTATTCCAGGTGAGCATAAACTACTGGGTCCAGTTAAGGAGAAAAAGTCTCAATATATTGCCCAGGCTGGCCCCAACTCTTGGTCTCAAGTGGTCTTCCTGCCTCAGCCCTGCCCCCAGCATAGCTGGGACTATAGGCACTTGCCACTGTGCACAGCCATTATTATATGTCAGCAAAAGCCTTCATTCAGATTAGCAAATGTATTATTTTGTACAGAAAAGTTGTTGTTCTTTCTTTGTATTGAGGGCCAATGAAACTATTCTTTCTTTTTTAAAGTTGAAAACTAACTTTACTTACAGCTACACTTTTATTGGTATAGTCTTTGGATAGAAAGCATGGCTTTTGTATTAGTAGAGATTTTGCAAACAATATCTGTATGGCAGGAATGATCTCTGGAATTGTATCAGCTGTATGATTTACATCTCAGAAGTTAGGATGTTCTAGGATTTCCCACCATCCATTGTTCTCCCRCCATCCTATCTCCATGCAGAAAATGGTCTGTCCTCCCTAGAGACAGAGAAAAGGCACAGGAAAATAGAAATAATTTTATGATGAAGTCTTATGAATCTTCTTCTATAAGCTTCCCAACAAAGTTATTCTTTTATATTATGAGAGTTCATATTTCAGTTACCACAATGTTTAAATGGTTGGTTGGCTATTTAAATTTTTTTTCCTTCTATTTGTATATTTCTGTGCTCTTTGCAGTGAGAATTTTGAGGGTTATGAAAAGAGATATGCTTAGAAATACATCTAAGAACAATTCTGTCTTATGCTGCTGATAAACCCCAAATTATACATTCCTTGCTTTGAGGCTAGAAGTACTACAGTGATAGCTCGTGTTATTTCCAAGGTCATAAAGCCTTGGCCTCTCTGATGGGATTCAGTGTGAGAGTGTCAATAGTAAGTAAATCACACTGTTCATCTTAGTTCTAAAACCAGTGTTTTATTCCATGAGGAAACAATAGAGGCATTTTCAATAAGATCAGGAACACAGCCAAATGTCCATAATCTCTGACATTATTCATCAGTGTATGAGAGGTGTGCCCTAGGGCAGGGTTTCAGAGATCTCAGTCTGTAGACAGCCAACTCCATTGCTCTGGGCCCCAGGTGAGGCAGAACATCATGACATAAGGGGTTTATTGTGTCATGAGGAAAGCAGCTCATGATATGATAATTAGGAAGCAGAGCAACTTTATTTATTTATTTATTTTTTAGACAGGTGCAAGTGTTCGGGTGGTGAATCAGCTGCTTACAGAGATGGATGGTCTGGAAGCACGTCAGCAGGTTTTTATTATGGCAGCCACTAATAGGCCAGGTAAGAAAGAAGAACATCACACAGATGAGTCTAAAAACTCACAGCATTTGTTTACAGTTTAGTTTATGTACATCTTAGTAAAGGAATATTTAAATTTTAGCAATTCCTTTTTGGTTCATAGGTTGAAATAAAACCTTAGAAAGCTTTTTTATAAGCTACAGTAAACCACAGTATTATTGCCTAGATTCTATGAGATTGTTTTTCTCTGTTAGTGCTCAGAAAGTTGTTTTGCTGGCAGAACACTTGGAATACACATTTTTTTTTAATTAGAGCTTTATAATTATACATAGTATTTGAGTTCATTTTGACAAAATACATGCAAGGAAGGAATTTGATTTTTTTTTTTTTTAGTGATTTTATTATTATTTTTTAAATACATGACAGCGGAATGCATTACAATTCTTACTACACATAAAGTACAGTTTTTCATATCTTTGTATAGAATATGTTCATGCCAATTCATGCCTTTATACACATACTTTTTTTTGCATTGCAATTCTTATTACACAAATACACCACAATTTTTCATATCTCTGTTTATATATAAAGTATGTTGACACCCAATTCAATTCTTTGTACATGTACTTTGGATAATGATGTCCATCACATTCCACCACCAGGAATTTGATTTTAATTYCCATCTGCCCCTTTGCATCCCTCCTCCCTCCCCCTAATCTCTCTCCTCTTCTCTATTAATATTTTATTTATTCATTCATTCATTCATTCATTTTTGGTGCCAGAGATTGAATCCAGGGGTGCTTAACCACTGAGCTATATCTCCAGTCCATTTTTTAGTTTTATTTTGAGACGGGGTCTCACTACGTTGCTAAGGGCCTCACTAAATTGCTGATGCTGGCTTTGAACTTGCAGTCCTTCTGCCTTAGCCTCTTGAGTCACTGGGGTTATAGGTGTGTGCCACCATGCCCAACTATTTATTTATTTTTTATTGATACTTTCTATTATATATAAACAGGTGAAATTCATTTTGGTACATTTATATATGTATATGACATGCTGTTGTTAAATTCATTCCATATTTCAATCCCTTTCCCTTCTTCCTCCCCACCTCTTGTTCTTCTACTCTACTGATCTGCCTTATATCTTTATGTATTCAGTCTTCTTCCCTGCAACATTTTCCCTCATTTTGCTGTAGCTTCCACACATGAGAGAAAACATTTGGCTTTTGATTTTCTCAGTTTGGCTTAATTCACTTAGAATGATTTTCTTCATCTCCATCCATTTACTAGCAAATACCATTATTTCATTCTTCTTTAGGGTTGAGTAAAACTCTGTTGTGTGTGTGTGTTTGTGTATGCACACAGCACATTTTCTTGAGCCATTCATCTATTGATGGGCATCTGGGTTTATCTCATAATTTGGTTATTGTGAATTGTGCTGCTGTAAATATTGAAGTGGCTTCATATGTATTATGTGATAATTTTAGTTCTTTTGGATAAATACCGAGGAGTGGGATAGCTGGGTTTCAGTCCTAGTTTTTTGAGGGATCGCCACACTGCTTGCCATAGTGGTTATACTAATTTGCAGACCTCTCAACAATTTATGAGTGTACTTTTTTTTCTTACTTCCTCTCCAGCATTTATTATTGTTTCTTGAAACACATTTTTTACCCCAAAAGCATTCTAAAAGTTTGTCCTGTGGTTTCTCTCAAGCTTATAGAAAATCAGAACCACACACTCACTATAAAGTTGAAAATAGGATTTTAAGATTTTRAACTGAAGTCATGTTTCTATACTTATCCTGAATTATGATTTAAAGTTGTTTTCAATCTTTAGCATTCTGTGAGGGAAAAAGAACAATGTTTAAGACTTCAAAAGTGCCAAATATAACCAACCTAGATGCCCTTAAATAGATGAATTGATAAAAAAAAGTGGCATTTATACACAATGGAGTATTACTCTGCATTAAAAAATGACAAAATCAGGGGCTGGGGATGTGGCTCAAGCGGTAGCGCGCTAGCCTGGCATGCGTGCTGCCCAGGTTCGATCCTCAGCACCACATACAAACAAAGATGTTGTGTCTGCCCAAAACTAAAATAAATAAATAAATATTTAAAAAAAAAAGACAAAATCATAGAATTTGGAGGGAAATGGATGGCATTAGAGCAGATTATGCTAAGTGAAGCCAGCCAGTCCCTAAAAAACAAATGCCAAATGTCTTCTTTGATATAAGGAGAGTAACTAAGAACAGAATAGGGACGAAGAGCATGAGAAGAAGATTAACATTAAACAGGGATGAGAGGTGGGAGAAGGGAAATTGCATGGAAATGGAAGGAGACCCTCAGGGTTATACAAAATTACATACAAGAGGAAGTGAGGGGAAAGGGAAAAATAATACAAGAGGGAGAAATGAATTACAGTAGAGGGGGTAGAGAGAGAAGAGGGGAGGAGAGGGGAGGGGGAGGGGGGTTAGTAGAGGATAGGAAAGGCAGCAGAATACAACAGACACTAGTATGGCAATATGTAAATCAATGGAAGTGTAACTGATGTGATTCTGCAATCTGTATACGGGGTAAAAATGGGAGTTCATAACCTACTTGAATCAAAGTGTGAAATATGATATGTCAAGAACTATGTAATGTTTTGAACAACCAACAATTAAAAAAATGTGCCAAATATAGGTTTTATTTTTATCCTAAATACTCATCATGTTTCTTAATGCTTTGCCCTTGGTATAAGCCACTCTTTCATAGCTGTTCCTACTATGATGTTTGTAGTAACCGTGTCTGTTAGTAATGATAAGGTACATTAGTTGTTTAAATGGATTTAAACAATACCAGTTGTCAAGCTGGTGTAATATTTTCCTCTCCTGTAAATTACTATAGAAATTCATGAATTTGCTACCATTTCATTTTATGATGAAAAATTGAGAGCTGGAATAGTTTGACCCTGGTAATAATGAAAAGCTGTCTTTGGATCTGACAGAACAGGGTTTTAGTCCTGGCTGTAGCATTTTATATCTTTTTTTTTTAATTGTACATAACACAATACCTTTATTTTATTTATTTATTTATGTATTTGGTGCTGAGGATGGAACCCAGTGCCTCATATATGCAAGGCAAGCACTCTACCCCTGAGCCACAACCCTGGCCCCCCATTTAATATCTTATTAACTGTTCTATTTCAACCCCAACTGGTCTAACACCAACTAGGCTACAGTTGAATTCTGACACTAGTGGAGTTGTGTCAGATTCATCAGTTAATGAGAATCCTTTGGAAGACTTTACATACCAGTGGTCTTCTTGGGATACCTGCAATTCTTTCAGCCTACTCCAAGTTTGGAGATTCCCATGACTCTCATAGTTTCAATAATTCCCTAGAAAAACTTATAGATCTCATGAAAGAGCTATATTTACAGTTATAGTTTTATTATAAAGCATATACATAAGGTGTCTGAAAGGAGCATTGAACTTCCATGTTCCACCCTATAGCATCAGAATGTGTGTCACCCTCCCCGTAAATCAGTGTATTCACCTACTGGGAAGTGTAATCAAGCTTTGGTGACCCGAGTTTTTACTGGGGTTTCGTTATGTAGATATGATTGATTAACTCTTTGGCAACATGATTGAACTCAGTTTTCCCCAGAGGTCAGAAGAAGTTCAGAGTTCCAACCCTCTAATCATATACTTGGTCTTTCTTCTGACCAGTATTTTTTCCAAAGCTATTTAGAATTCCATCATGAGTCATCTCATTAGCACAAGGACACTCTTATTAATCAGAARAGTGCAGGGATGTTTGGAGCTCCATGTCAGGAACCAGAGTAAAGAGCAGATGTATTCTTCTTTTTTTTTTTTTTTTTTCTTTCTTTAATGGTACTAGAGGCTTAACCCAGGGGCACTGTACCTGTGTGCTATATTCCCAGGACTGTTTTTTTCTTTTATTTTGAAACGGTCTCATGAAGTTGCTGAGGCTGTCCCCAGACTTTCTATTCTCTTGTCTTAGCCTCCCTAGGTGTTGGGGTACCATGACCAGCCAGATTTTTGTTTGTTTGTTTTTCAGTACGAGGGATTGAACTCAATACTGGGCATATATTACTTAATCTTGCTGATCATTTTAAGGGTAATACTGTCTARTTGGCAGGTTTGTCACAAAGGTTAAGTGATGTTGGTAATGTATCTACTACATTGATAGTAGATAGCAGGTAAATACAATAATTATCACAGTGTTGATCAGTTTTGATAATAATAGTGGAAATAGTCATTAGGTCCTAAAATCACACTTATCCTAAAGAAACATTGAAGAGCTCTCAAATTTGTCCTGAATGATGTCTGTCTTTTCCTGAGCAGACATGTTTCTTCTAACAGATTTCAAAAAGATTGTCTGGCTTCCTATATACCCGATTATGAATTGTGAACAGTGTTCACAATTTTTCATGTTTGTTTATTGTAAAGAACTTTGTCTTTTAATTTAATCTCAGTAGATTAGAGAATAGATTCTTGATTGTCACTAGATTTTCCCTAAATCCTCTCCTTCAAAATACATATATACATTATCTTTGCTTGTGGGTTTCTTACCAGGAAGTAAACCAGTGTGCCCAAAGTGAAGTAGGTGAGGGGAAAAGTTATGAAGAGACAGATGCAAGGGATGTATAGGCCACAGCAAGAGATGTGGATTTGCTTCTGGTGTGATAAGAAGCCATCAGAGGGTGTTGAAAGCAGATGAGTGATGGACCTGGTTTTATTTTTTGTTTTCATATTTAAAAAAATAGTAATCGGGCTGGGGATGTGGCTCAAGCGGTAGCGCGCTCGCCTGGCATGCGTGTGGCCCGGGTTCGATCCTCAGCACCACATACCAACAAAGATGTTGTGTCCGCCGAGAACTAAAAAATAAATATTAAAAATTCTCTCTCTCTCTCTCTTCCTCTCTCACTCTCTCTTTAAAAAAAAATAGTAATCATCAAGAATACAGGCAATAAAAAATATTGGCGAGATTGTGGGGGAAAAAGTACAGTCATACATTGCTGGTGCCACCATTATGGAAAGC